GAACAATTTAATGAACATGGTTAGCATACATATGGGTTTACATATCAGGACAATTCAATCAAGTTACCTCACTCTATTCAGTTCAGTTTCTATTCCAAGCTTGGCCTTCTTGATATTTTAATTTAAATGTTGCTAAAGAGTGTATATATAGATAGATTAAGGGAAATGTGTACATTCAATGCACAACGCATTTTTTTAATATAGAATGAAACTACTTGTATTTTAAAAAAAAAAGTTTAAAGAAAAGCTTCTCTCTCAGCCCTTTGTGCTCTTATCTCTCTCTGCCCGATGTTTGGTGAGAAAACACGCTCCCAACCTCCCCTCTGATTCCATTGATTTTTGGCATCAGCCAGTTAACGTATAACCTGTGTGAAGGTCACTGTGGCGATGAGCTAGAAGACGGTCTGTTCAACTGTTGGTCCTAAATGCTTATACCCTGCATTCCCTACTAAGCTGCTTATTGCTGTAGCGGGGGCCAAATGCAGATGAACTGCTAAAGGTATGTGTATCTGATTGTGTCTTTGAATGAGGTATGGAATAGGACTTTTTTTCCCCCCTTTTCATTTTTAGGACATTTAATACAAATCACATACACTCTCACAGATTATCATTTTGCCAACCCAACTGCTGTGATAGAAATATGAATGGGCTTTGTCTACAGTTGTGGGCAGCAGTTGATTTCTATCCATGTTTCATGTTTTGTGGAGATGAATTGAAACCATTGGCTGTTTCGAACAGAAACCACATCTGTATAATCTGTATAGAGTGCATTTGAATGTAATGCAATGCAATTTGTTCTAGTGTTTACAAATGTGTTGCAAACTTGCACACACATTTACATATTCTTTAAAAAGACTGAAGAAGATTAAAGTTTGGTCTCCATCAGCAGCCACTGTGAGGCTCTAAGAACCAAATGATTGTGTCGGAATCCAGGTTTTGTTGTAATATAGAGGAAAAAAAGAAGAATGTGTATGGATCAACAAGGGAGAAAAGGCAGGGTCTGGTTTATGAAATATCCATCAGGATGGATACCACATTGTCTCCCTAGCGTTCCAGCCATGCGGGCCGCCTCAATCCGTCCTCTCCGTCCTCTCTTCCTCTCAGGCCCCGTTAGGTTTCACTGCACAGGAGGTGGAAGTTAAAGACACGAGGCGTCCGTTTGATCGTTCATTATTCATTATGTTAATCAGGCTACGGGCTAAGATCTCCTGCTTTTGTCCCGTTGCACCACACGTGAGATCCCCTTATTCTTTTACATTTTGCACAAGTTGCCTTTTTATTCGCGTTGGTTTGATTCTTCTCATCAAATTAGTCATTTATATGACAAGGAACTCTCTACTCGCGTCGCTGAACACCAACGGTCTCTCATGCTGGAGCTGAAGTAAAGACTCTCTTGTTTGTTCCATTTGAAGCTTAACGCGCTGAATAAAGTCGGCTGATTAATCGTACCTGCCTTGGTCTTAACGTTTACTCGTAGGCGCTGTAATTTTGACTATTTTTAGAGTGTAGTACGTTAAGCTGTCAAGCGGTTGCCTGTTTTGATCAGATACAAGGCTGTCTATGAATGGCGACATTGTTCTGTGTAAGGCTCGATGCCATTGAGGTGCTTGCTTTTGCCAGTGTTTCTCTCTGGTTTCTGTCTACCTTTCTTCCCCCCCACTCTGTTTCTGTTTTTGTGAGACAACGGCTGCAAGATGGGTGGAATTGAATTGAAACATGGATACAGTAGATTAAACGATGGAGATGTAGGGCCTCGAGCATTGACCTTGATGCAATGGTTGCAAGATGTAACTCTGGATCCATTAAGTCACTGGATTTATCATGATTTTCATTTTCTGTTGCCAGAAGCATTTTCTGAGCTGAGGTCTTAGTGTTGCAAGAGGACCTCACTAACTGTAAACTGCTGTGATCTGTAGTTTTCTGTTTTGCAGCAAGAAACACAACTTTTAGATGTGTGGGGTTATAAAGTCTGGCTCACGGAGAAAGACTAGGACACATGGAGAAAGGAAGAAATTGAGTAGCGAGTTCTTGGGCTCTTGGATGCAGCCTCCTCTCTCCTCTTTGGCTGTGTTATTTTAATTTTTTTTTACCTGTCACCTTCATTGACGCCTCTCGCCCCATCCTCCTATTCAGACAGAATATTTATAACCAAAGACCACAGCCTTTGCCCCGCACATCTCCGCACAGCCCAGCCCAGCAGGACGGGGCAGTTGTTAATTCCACAGAGTCAATGGCAAGCAGCGAGTCTGGCGGCAGTCCAGGTCCTTGAATTCCACTTGGCACTTACATGGGGAGGAATGTTTGGCTCTTGAATTGACCCGACGGTGCTATAGGGTCAGACAGAGTGATGTAAATGCTGACATAGATGGCAAACACACACACACCTGAAAGTTTAAATTTTGTCTGTAGTGATATTCTTTTAAAGAGCTTTACAGTACATTGTCAAAGTTCATCAGCTATCAACAGGCCAAATGTTGCACATTTAAAGCTCAGTATATCAAACTGTGAGGTCTTGAAATAATCATTAAATGAGAGTCTTCACAGCGCTATTTTGTGCAGCGCAGTGCACACACACACACACTCACACACACGTATAAATATATACTCAGAGTGGTTGCAGTCCCTCGTCACCACGTCACACTGACACGTGTCTTTGTACAGAAAGCCGTCTGCGGTTTTGCACGCATCACCTTGCACTTGAATGGCATTTTCCAATTTCCTCCTCTCTTCTCACGTTCATACTTAAATGAAAGGGTCTTCTGTTTCTTACCTCAACCTTGCTTTGACCCTGCAGCGGAGGTCACATGCAGCGCGTAGCCCTGCCGTGGTCGTGCATACACCGAACATCAGAAGAGATTGGAAGGGGATTTGTCAAGCTCGATAAGCGGGGCAGGGAGATGTTTGTCTGCTAGATAAAGACAGGTTGTAATATTTACTTGAGTCATTGTGTTTTTGACCAACTGATCACTCATATGGACGCCAGCGTTTGAAAAGGTTTTAATCCATCAACTCTTTTTAAAACATTGGCCAAGGCCTCGAGGAAACAAGTAGCAGTTAACCTTTATTTATTCAGGGAGGGTTCACTTCACTTTCCAGCAGTGCTTCTTATTTTTACAGTCACACCTGAGCTGCCCATTACAACAACAGTCCTTCATTGAGCAGTACAGAAAGAGCCTTTGGGTGTTGAGTTCCGTGTCAGATGTCAGGGCAATATTACCTCATCAGATCTCACTGACATGAATGAACATATTTTCTTGAAAACATTAATTTTATTCTTAGAGGTGCGACATAATACTTACATTTCTTTTCTACTCTGTGAATTCAAATGGAGGACTTTTTAGTTAGAATATCAGGCCTCCAAGGATCAGCCCACCTACCCCAACAGTGTTCTCTCTGGGGATGTTTGTAAGGATGACTTAAACTGAGATTTTAGTTTTTTGTTGATTTTTCTTAGTGGGTCTTTTACAATTCCTTTTGTCTTCCTATGGAAAATGGTTTAATGCTGTTTTAAGTTTATATTTTATGGTTGTATATTCTATGTTATCTTGTGGGTATTTATAGCTTGTGTTATGTAATTAGCAAAGGTATGGAGGTCAGTCACATGACTTGGACTTGAATCATTAATCTGATGAATGAGACTTGTGACATTTTTGAAGGTAATCTGTACACATTCTAAATACAATTCATTACTTGGAACCCTTTTTCCTTATTGCAAATAGCCACCAGAGCATTACAGCAAGGTGCTTCCCGGT